TGCGGATAGAATTATCAGTAGAATTTAGGATGAATACAGCTCAGCTATGAGTAATCTGCAACCACAATTTATAAACACTCCTCGATGTTAACATATGCCATTGTATACTAAATTATTTTTAACTTGACCGATTCTTGTTTCCTGGTAAATACATGCATTTATGTAGACTGTCTGCATCTCTCATTTATCATCTCGAGGACATTACATAGTGAGCGAGAATGATAGGCAACGTAGTGATTGTTATTTGAGATGCGTCAAACTCTTAAACCATCATTATATCTTCAATGTGTCATAAAGCCCCGCGCGAAATGCGTCAGTTTCGTTTATTCACTAGTGTTAAGAAGAAAATTGATGTTGAAAGTGTACTTGTGATATAATGACGAAATATACTTACACAACTTGTATTGATAGCCTAGGCACTTCGAGCGCACTATGAGAAACATATCCTATTCATTATAAGTAGTCTATTATTCACATGTTTCCTATAACGTCACTTTCAAAGGAAATCATTAGGTATTAAGAAGACAAATACACCATTCTTCTTGTGTTATCACTTCGTATCAATAGGATCTTACATGATCATATTAACACTTAGAGTTATGTTTCCGTTGACCACATCATTCAACTTCAATAATTTATTTTGTTGTCATAAAATATTGCAACTTATTATATTGGCTTTTGCCGTGGGTATCACCTGCTTACAGTCGACCAGCAGAAGCAATTACCGAAAAGCAACAATAGCACCCCCATTTGAGCCTAATTCATTCGTTTGTAAACATGACATTTTACGCCTTTTACGTCTTCTAAATTGAGATCACTTTTCAACTCAAAAAACAGTTAATATTACTAATGTATGAAAGGAGTGCAAACTTTCCAAAAATAATTATTTTAGCAAATACACTCGTAACATCACAAATAATTCATCATTGACCAACATGTTATCGGTCCAAATCTCATTAGAACGTCTAAATATGTTGAGTGATTGCGGAAGTGAAGACCGTAATTTGGATAACAAAAGTCACAAAAGTTCAGTTGAGAAGCACACCTTAAAGCACAGTACCTTTCAATTAAATGACCGGCTCTTCAAAATTATCTCACCAGTTGATCAACTCTGTTTCCTTTCTGACTATGAAATTCTGTGAGTGTCATGAAATCATAATTACGCCTACGTTCAAACCTCTCCCTCATCATTTACGGAAACACGTTCCCCTTACGGGAATTATTTAGTATATCGTATCATAATTGACAGTTTGCAATGAATCCTGACGTTCCATATGTACCTCAGCATGTCACTGCAATGAAAACAGAGCATTTTTTTCAACAGAGTGGAAACGATTATTCTTCTCACGTTTTACAAGCTTTTTCGTTAAAATATGGCACTTAAAATGAGTTCCAGTCGAAAAACTCCGAGAAACAACGTAAAAGCGCTCAAACACGAAATGCGGTAACACCTGATCCCCGTAGCAATCAGCCGATTTGTTCCACTATCCCCTATCGGCGTCGTTAACTTACCATTGACTTAAGCCCTTCAGGGAATTCCGGCTCCCGTTGCTGAAGTCACAGGCCATCTGTTTGGAACCATATACCTCTAAAGATACAATTCCGGGATTCGCAGAACTGTCCCCAACGTTCTGAATAATCTTCAACTATTTTTCGGGGGTTGTGAAATCATCATGAACTACGTGTTCCACCAAGGGTAAATTAGTGGTTTAATTATCCTATGCACTCTCAAATCTTCCGGAGAGCGTCCTGGTTTCATGGGTACAAGTTTCTGTCGCTAATTGAACGAATAAACACCCAAAGAATTAGAATATGGCTGCTCCCAGGAATTAAATGGCACCACAAACAGTTAACACGGATTATTTGTAGGAGGACAACTGGGAAAAGCTTCCGTATGATTCATACGAAACGGCCTGTGTGAACCCCAATAGGAATGTCACATCCTAGTGTCAAATTTTTACATTATAATAGCCCGTTAGGTATATTGACCCGGCTTGAATTTTTCGCGTATTCTCAGTTATTCTCTAGCAGCAAGCTCTTGTACCAAAATAATCATAAAGCAGCGCTAATGAGTAGTGTGTGGGAGGACAGCATTTGGTATTGGAAGTATGTGTTATTGGCATGCTGATGAGCGAGCGAAATGGAGGAGCCTAGTCAAACACACTCGGGGGTATTCACCATTTATTGCAGTTCATAATGGGTAATAGTTCACACGTAGGAAAAAGACGTTATCTGCTCTTAGTAACTCATTTCGTCCTTCTACATTTACTGATATCCGATCTTCTTCTGAGTCACCATGGATCCTACAGTCATTCCGAATTGCGCGTGACTTGCCTGTGTTATACATTTGCACTGTCTTCTCCACGAGTGTTCCCCACTTACGTCGAAAACGCATTAATCTAATCCCTTTTCCATCCAGTCGTTTTAAATATTTTGAAAGCTTTAAATTTCAGCGATCCGTCTGCTATCCTTCTGAGTTACATGTCAAGGAAACATAATTCATAACTTTTATTCTTTCAGAGCAGCGTGAATGAAAGGGTGGTTGGAGAAATTCATGAATCCATGTGAAATTAGGCAGTTCATCTTCAACAACCATACATTTTACCTCTACTAACTGAGGTATGGTAAAGAATTGTAAGATGCTAATTGGTTATACCAGTTTAACGTTCCTGAAACTGATTTCCTGTTGGACTCGACTAGAAATACCACTCATGTTTCTAGTGTAACCGTCTATCCAGCCAGACCCCTGCCCTAGTCAAAAGTTAAGCTAGCTCCTCATACTGGCCCGTCATAGGTTGATGGTCAGGCTACAGTTAACGCTGCCCTACATGATAAGAGTACGACTCTTACAGCTGTTCAGAAATGAACTTGTTTCGCAACATTAATTACAGTGCGCAGAGACACATGACTAGAGCTCGACACTTCTTAGGAATCTAAATGTTCATAGTTGGTGTTCTTTGGACCCCGTCGGTACAGATAGGCTAGTTAGTCTACGCTCAGTCGTATTCGCAAATGCCTTTGTTCTCTCACGAGAGATTGTGTTAAATTTTCATACTGAAGTCATTAGCTTTGCTACTTATAAATTTTTTCGAACCTGATTACACTGGTGAGAAGTAGTATTATGTTTTTCCTCCATTATTGGGCCGATGTTAGGAAAGGCATAGTAAAGAAACTGGAACAGGTCAGGCAGTGTTGACAATCCGTATGTTCTAATCCTAGCAAGACAAGTCACCACACACTATCATGAGTGTTATCTAGGCTGGTGCGAACGAGAAGGCGTTGCACACTGCCCGAGGGTACGTAACTGGGCTTGAGTGGTGATGCTTCTTCGGCATCATGTGGATGTTCTATAGAACACAGTACCTCCACACATGATTAAAGCACTGCCAATATAGGTTTTGTGAGGGTTTTTCTATCAGAGGTTGCGATTTTTTTCTAATGAGTAGAACCTCAGTCAGTGGAAAACCCTTTAGGCACACGACAGTGATATTATTCCCATGACTTTAAGTCTTATAAGCAAGAGTGAGTCGTACTTTCATATTTGGTGGATTGCAAATATAATGTGATGCAAGGGTATTTCACCTACTCACCCTCATGTGTTACGTTGTGCTCCACCATGTATGTAACGAGTACCATAATACCAGAATTTGTATGTCATTTTGCTACCTTAAAGCCGTCACACCTTTTTTGAGAAGACAGATTATTCCAGGATTGTTTAATAAACGCTTTATTACTAACACAAGAATAGCCAAAATGAGAATATATTATTATTATTAAAATATGTTTATGTCTGGAAAAGCGGATAGCGCACAATGTCTTCTCAGTTTCGGCTGACGTATGAGAACTATGATGTTTATTCGGTCTCCTAAAATGTTTTCAAAATTGTCAGTTAGCATGCATGTAATGGACAAGGTGAGCGAGTGTTATATGGAGTGCGCTTAATGTATGTGTTTTGTATAGAGGAGTTATTCTAGTGTAATTCGGTGTCACCGCAATTACAATAAAGGATACTGTTCGAAGACTCCTCTTAATCTATATTATTGCATCTGTGGTCATCAGAATCATACATGAAAGCATTTTTCTGCTAAAGTAAGTAGGCGTCGAGTGATGCGGAACGCCTCGGTCTGCAGCCAAGTTCTGGGTGTAGGTTATGATTTTTAACTGGGGACTCGTGCTATCTAGAAGCGGTTTGTAGCAGGTACATGTTTCTTCAAACTTTAATTACTAAAGCATGTGGAATTGATTAAGCATTCTAGACCGTATTCATCTTCTAAAAGGAAGGGGTGCACAAATATTCCATTTCCTCCCATGACAAGCATTCAATCGACTGTGATACCTAGAAGAGTTCGAGCTCATTTACTTTTTAGTCTCAACTAGAAATAGCGCGGTCGCATCCCTATCCACCTACATCTCGGCCCTCATAACTGTCTGACTCTACAGCCAGAACCTCCCTGAAGTTTTACCATGCGGCCCGTGACTCCATCCAACTAATGAAGAAAGAATATTACAGCTATACTTATCCATGATGTTCTTAGGTAAGTGTATTTAAGAGGAATTATACGAATGCACAACCGAAGTTCATGACATCCACTATCCCCTTCTTCTTTCAAATGTTAATGGCCTACGACTATTTTTTCGCCCTAGTGGAAAGAATCAACCGAGCAATCAAGTAGGTTGACCTGTGTAATGGTTCCATGTGCTTGTTTAATACCCTAAGGAGAAATTAGAAACCAAAAGCACTGAAAAACTTTTTTGTGAAGGCTTCTGGAGGGAAAAGAACCGAATCCCCAGAAAAACAACAAAAACAGTCTGTTCATCCCTTATTTATAAACTGTGACCATTTGTGACATAAAGTTTAATAAATGTTAGGTCTGCAGTTTTGATGAAGATGATAGTTAGTATTCACCGGAAGTTGTTTTTAATATAGTGAATTTACAGAATATTAACATTTAAGAATGACACACTCTTGACTTTGTTTATGTGTTTCTAGTTCGACTATCAACCAATCAGCTACATCCACACGGATTGTTGCCCGCGTTGTTAGGATGTTTTACGATATTTCAGCTGAGTGTAGTGCGAGGTCTCCAGTGTATTACTTCTTCACCCTAACATGCTTTCAGACTATAAGTAAAATATAATTTTCATTAATTATCCCGATTTAGTTACCTTATCAGCTTATGCAAATGTAGAAGATGTGCTGGAGAGGGGGACTCGGTTACTGTCATCGGGTAAATTTGAAGAGGCTCTTACTTTGTATAACGAAGCCGTAGGTATGTTAAAATATTCTTATATTCTTTTAGGCAAAAGTCCTGATAATTATATGACACATTACAAAAGGGGGACTGCATACATTGCATTGGCGAATTGCAGGATGTCTCTCTCTGATTTTAATAGAGCTCTGGAGCTGAATCCGGACTTCGTACCTGTTAGTGAGTAGTAGTTAGGCTAAACTGATCTACAGGCACGGAAATATCGCGCATATGTGAAGCTCCGGATGGGAAAACTATTAGAAGCTATAGAAGATTATGAAGCTGTGGTAAGTGCTTTCTTTCACGAAAATATTGTGTAGCTGACTCATGATTCTGACGCTAGTGCAAAGATATCCGAAATACACGGGCTACAAGAACGGTGGTCGACTGCGCGTAGTCTCTTTGAAAACAATCAGTATCGGGAAGCTCTTGCACTTCTGGATAAATTGATAGAGTCTATCGATTTTGCTGAAGAGCTTCGTGAACTCCGAGCTAAATGTTACTTAAGTTTGGGGGAAGTTCAAAAGGGCATTCAAGAAATGAGATTTGGTGTTCACCTAACGAATGATAATCGCGAAGGCCTGTTGAGAATCAGTCAGATAATGTACGATGCTGGTTTTGCAGTTCAAGCTATTAGTGAACTTCGGGAATGCCTGAGACTAGATCAAGATGACAAGGCTTGCTTGAGTTTCTATAAAAAAGTCAATAAAGTTGCCAAGGCAATAACAGCCACTCAAGAAGCTTTAGAGTCCGAAAGGTATTCCGATTGCATCAGGATAGCCGCAGAAATTATCAAACTGGAGTCTTCAAATCGTGAGTACGAAAACCAAGCAAATATCAGTCTTTGCCACTGTCATGCTAAGGTAAGTTTCCATATTTAATTTTCACAATTTTATCGCCGCTAAATTTTGTTGTATATGGTGTTATAAATGGTCTCAACTAGTCCAGCATTCAATCTAGTTGCATCTCACTACTTTGGATTTTCGTCCAAACGATTCGCCTATTTTTACTGTTTTCGCATTGCTTTTTATCTGTATTAACTTGGATATCCTCATAATTAATTCGGAACGAAAGTAATCAGCGTGAATGGTTGTTTTCAATTAATTCTACTCCATGCTGTATAATTGTAAATCCATAAATTTTAGCATACAATAGCCAGTAAAGGCAAATTAGAATTATTTCAGTGTTTCGTGGGGATGAAACAAGACGGAATAATAGTCAGTCAGAATGTATATAATCAGTAAGCACATAAAACAGAATGAGGTGAAACAATTATATATATATAGTCAACAAAAGTAGAGATTTCAAGCGTTCGTGGTCAGTAATGTGTGAAACCAACAAATGGGATAGACCAGACGCAGATTCAAGAGTGACATAACAGTAGTAATAATAAAATAATAAAGGTGGTAGGGTGTAAACCTAAAAGTACTGGTAGTGGACGATTATCAAGTCATAATGGATTTAATGAAGTGGAATAAACAGGATTGTATCAATTCCATTATGGGTAAATTTTATTTTGATAGTCTCACAGTGTTATACAGTAATATTTACTGATGACGTTTCGAGCACAATTTATTGCTCATAATCATATCAAGTTAATCACACGACTTCCTAAATTCATTTATATAGTTCCATTGTTTTTCACTTGATTTTCACTTGATTTGATTGGTAGTATTATTTTCCATATTTCAGGTATGAGTGATGATTCATTCCTATTGCATGTGTTGGGTGTAGATTCGATGAACAAAGATTCAGTAATCAACCTCTCTCTCCACCTACCTAGATTACTTTTTAGAATTTTAACCCTCTCACACCATGCTATTGTGTGGTTGTGTGCTAATGCATGCATTGCAATTGCCGAGCTTTTTTCTAAATTAAGTATCTTCTCTGGGTCAACCATTCTTACCTTAGATAAATTCTTATGTTCTGACAATCTGACTACCCCTGACCTACTAGTTTGACCCATGTAGTTGACCTAACTCACAGTCATTGCAGGGTATTTTGTAAATTATATTATAAAATATATTATATATATTATATATGTATATTATATATATATTATATATATTATATATATATTATATATATATTATATATTATATTACAAAATAATATAATTTACAAAATATCCTGCAATGACTGTGAGTTAGGTCAACTACATAGGTCAAACTAGTAGGTCATGGGTAGTCAGATTGTCAGAACATAAGAATTTATCTAAGGTAAGAATGGTTGACCCAGAGAAGATAATTAATTTAGAAAAAAGCTCGGCAATTGCAATGCATGCATTAGCACACAACCACACAATAGCATGGTGTGAGAGGGTTAAAATTCTAAAAAGTAATCTAGGTAGGTGGAGAGAGAGGTTGATTACTGAATCTTTGTTCATCGAATCTACACCCAACACATGCAATAGGAATGACTCAACGCCAATACCAGAGATATGGAAAATAATACTACCAATCAAATCAAGTGAAAATCAAGTGAAAAACAATGGAACTATATAAATGAATTTAGGAAGTCGTGTGATTAACTTGATATGATTATGAGCAATAAATTGTGCTCGAAACGTCATCAGTAAATATTACTGTATAACACTGTGAGACTATCAAAATAAAATTTACCCATAATGGAATTACACTCTACCACAGTGCCCAAGTTTTATTCTTATATCAAGGATTGTATCAATATAGGAAGTTTGAAAAGCATTTCAAAGACTTAAGGCAGTAGATATAATGAAATCACAAGAGGTCTGAAACGAACGTTTGTCAATGAGACAAGAAAAAAGAAGAGAAAGGAAAAAATGGGGTGGGGATTTAATGTACCAGTGTTTACAGAGGATTTGTTGACTTTATTGTGAGCCGAGATGAACTAAGTGGTTGGATATACTTCTGTATACAGAGACGGGGTCTTCTGGTATTGATTTCCACTGCTTCAGCTACTGATAGAAGACGTAGTCGAGCTTCTGTAGGTAGACACCAGGAACGCGGTAGGTAACCGAGTACTCCTACTTTGGTTTTATTGAGTATTCACTACTCACACAGAGTCAAGGATAAATTACCAATGACAGTCTCATCAATGTGCATCTATGAATTTAACTTCTCATGTGGAGCAAGTTACACTGACCGTACTCAAAGAACTTTATCCATGCGCCCACCTGAACATACACCTTTATGGTTGAGTAAAGGGGGAAGCAGATGTGTAAATAGTGCAGTCTTAATCCGCTTGGTAGATATCTGAAGAATAATTTATTGAAAACAATTGTTCACTGTAAATATTTTTCTTTTATATCTATATTACATTGGAAAAGCTGGCGTGTTTAAAGATTGTAAGCATCTATACTCAGAAAAATGTTCCTGAGATTATACAGAGATTACTTCTTATGTGTTGACCGTGTAAACGGTTATATTTTCTAGGGAGCATATTAGATGACTATTAAATTAGCACTGTCAATTATGCAAATATTTCTGAATTTCTCTGTATTTCATGTATGGATACGTCACCAGGAACTAAAAATCTCTTTATAACGAGTTTATGAACCTGCTGACCGAAATGGTGGTGTGTTTTCGTTAGTATTTGATGTGTGCTGTAGTAAGATTAAGTTTAAAGATGATGTTTTTCAAGTCAAAGAGAGCCATCTACTCAACCATACTCTAAGTCGTCCATATTATATTACTATAGAAGATGAAATCTATCGACGTAGGTATTAGTATGTGCAGAGATCTTTATACATCGACGGTTTTAAAAAACTAGGTGAATCAGAATATGGTTGTTATTCTGAACCATATAGGAAATTATAGATTACTTGGTTTAAATCCCTGTGATAACAAGGAATAAAGGTTGGTAACTGTCGGTAGCGCAGCTCAAACTGATCATAATAGTACAGTTATGTTCACTTTTTGGCTTTGAACTTTCAGTCCCTCTCTTTATGTTATTTTCTTATCATTTTATTTGTTTACCTCATCTGTTTCTGCTTGAGCTAGTGCACTAATGCGTCAAGTTCTGTGTATGTTTGTGTTTGTGGTTTGTAAAATCACACCTTCAAAATATTATTAGAGAGTTGTTTTAAGTCTTGTCTTATCATTTGGATTGCAGCTCTGTTGTTGGAGGTATGCGTTTACCTCTATATTTTCCCGCTTATTCGAGGTCTCATATAATTTTTGCTTATCTGCTTGGTTTAATGCTACACAGTCTGGTGATCGATTACAGATCAGAAACATAAATTTTAGTGAATTGTCACTATTTACTGGGTAATTTGCAAACTAATTATTCTAATACAAATTTAAGTTTGCTATGTTCATAAGAATTGCCCGAATATTTACTAAAAACCACTTGTGATATGATATTTTGAAAAGCCTAGGCTATACTGTTGTAAGTATTTCAAAAGCACATTTACATTTGATATGGGTATATAACTGCATACACCGAAAAGTGTTGGTGAAGCATTCTGTATTCACGTATACTTCTCGCAGCTAATGTCTGTCTTCCATCTTATAACTGTAAGTGATTGCAGTATGAATATTCTCTTAGATTATCTGCTATGACGACCAAGTATATTTCATTCTACTACATATCTCTAGGCCCACGCAGTAGATTATATTTTTACTGTAATCAGTATGCAATTAGATATCGCTCATTACGTGTACATTTATTCAACACTACATCTTTATTATATGTTATTTTTACATTGTAGTCAAAAAGTGCTGATGGAGTTCCTTATTGTGAATCTGTAGTACGACACTACCCTGAAAGTACAGAGTATCAGCTTTATCAGGCCGAAGCTTACTTAAATGCTGACCGGTTTGATGATGGTAAGACAATTTGTCATTGTTGTTTTGTATCATATATATATATATATATATATATATATATATATATATATATATATATGATTACTACAATATTTTTCTCAAACTTGTAAAATCCATTCGAGTTAACTGAATTCTAACTCTAACTAAAAGATATCATGCAGACTTCCTATTTCGTTCATCTGATGTTTATGGGAACTGTCTGCTGCTTATGTTTTAAAAATAATACCGGAATAAAATTTGGAAACTCGGATAGTACAATAACTTTCATTTGATATAGCTGTCCTATACCTATATATGTATATATATATATATATATTATTTTTTCCACTCGATTACTTAGCCATTTCAACTTACCAAAAAATACTGGAACATGAATCTAATAACCAGAAGGCAAAAGAAGGTATGAGAAAAGCCCAAAAACTTTTGAAAGCTAGCAAACGCCGCAATTATTACAAGATACTTGGTGTTGCAAAATCAGCTTCGAAAAAGGAAATCGAAAAGGCTTATCGTAAACTAGCTGCCGAATATCACCCGGACAGGTTCCAGGGCGAAGAAAGGGTACAAGCGGAAAAGAAGTTCGTCGAAATTTCTGCAGCTAAGGAGGTCCTCACAGATAATGGTAAGTTCGTACTTTTAAGATTTCCTAATTTCTTGTATTTTTCTCCTAAATAACATTTAAAATTTAGACAGTTTTAAGTATCTTTTACTTAATATCTCTAACAAGACAAATTGGTCTTATGGGACCTAAAGCTCCTTATTTCATTACTCATAGAACTTTCGAGCATTTAAAACTTTGTTTAGTTTTCTACACTTCGTTTCTGTTTTTGATTATTTTTAAAATCCCTGTACTAAACAACTACATGCTTAGCAGTGAGCCATATCATTTTTTATGGTACCTGTCTATTAAAAGTTCAGTGAACCTAATGGATATCAAAGTCATACTTGATTAATCAAATAAGTGGCAGTTGTAAAAGAAAACGTTCGCAAACGTGCGACAAGTTCTACTTTTGCATAATCTCTGACGATGCGTTCATTTTTATCTTTTCTCACTGGGTCCGAAGTTCATGTTCTCCATGAATTCCTTATTCAAAATATTACATGTTTTGTTTTCTTTGTCTCAAATATTCAGCATTTTTATCCAAAAAATCAAGGTTTTTTGACGACACATCAGCATATCGATATGCCATAAGACCTATGCTAAAACACTTAAGGTAAAGGCATATAGCCATCTGTTAATACTGTTCTCAACCACAGTTTGATTAGACACCTCAATAGATGCTTAGTTTATTTAGGATGTCTTAGGTTAACTCCACTTATCGTCGTTACTTTAATTTTTGTAAATAATTATACACATTGGTTTAACTATGGTGGAGCTGTAGCTCTTTGATCTAGGTACTCGGCTTCCAACCATGGGGTTACGGGCTAAAACCCCGCTTCACCTTCTGGGGTTCAGCTATCCAGCTTGTATCACTAGTCCTGATACAATAAGTTTGGTTAGTTCAGCTATACGCTAATTGTTATTTCTTTTTTCTTTGTTGTGTGGTGTTTGTTTTTGTTTCTAGTCAATAGTATGGGCGATCCTTCTCATCTCAAGAGACTTTTATGCTGTTTCATGGTTTAATTCTATAGATAATCTAAATAATTTTGTAACGACTTGATTCTGGCTGGCTGGCTGGATTTAACATAGAACTTGGCACCGAAGTGCAGCAGTTCGAGTTGCCACGTTCCAAATAGCACACAAAGGTAGACAAGAGAATGATTGAAGAAAATCAATAGAGTTTTGACAAGTGAAACAGAATGAGTAATGGTAGAAAGGAATATGAAAGATTACAGAGACTGAATACATCTGCGCCATTGACAACGATTTTGAGCCATATCGCCTATTGTCTCCAGCCATTGATTCTTAGAGTCCCGAGGGCCCCAGCCCAGAGGTTTGCATCTCCCTACCTGACTCAGTTTAACTGTCAGGGATTTCATGGATTGATGCCATGTTTTTGTTTGGCCACCACTTACTCTTTTCCAACCTGCACCTATATCAGCTGGTAATGCCCGTCGGGGGAGGTGATAGTTAGGCATGCGCAGCACGTAACCTAAACATCTCAATCTATGTAACTTTATAGCCTCTTCGATTGATTTTCCCTCTTTGCCCAACACTACACCTAACGTCAACATTACTTACTTTATTATGCCACCTAACGTGAGAAAGATATCGAAGACATCTATGATCAAAAACTTGATTCTACAAATAAGTAACCTAACCTTGATTTTATTCAAGCGTGGTCTTTTTCGGTATATATTTACCATCTTTAGTTTCTGTGAAGTCATTTTTAAAAATTTTCGAATGCTATTGAAGTACCGTTCTTTTCCTTTTAAATCGTCTCATTTTTTATTGACCTCAGCTGGGAATTTTAAAAGTGATACGTATACGTATTTTCTCATTAACTATTTATAGTTTGTCATATGCTTTTGTAGAGGTTTTTCATTTAAATCTGTAGGTTATATTAAGCATTTAACTTAAAATGTTTCTCAAATAAACACTTTCTATCATATTATCTTTCATCTTGACAAAATTTTTCCTCTTCAGAAAAACGGGCTCAATTCGACAGTGGAATCGATCCATTAGATCCTGAACAACAAGCACAAAATCCTTTTGGCAATCATCCTTTCGATGGTTTCCCATTTGGCAATATGCATCCATTTGAAGGTGCACATTTTGAATTCCATTTTGGATAACTTGTCAATCAAATTTGCCACAGTTGTTGTGGTTTTTCGATTTATTCCATTTCTTTTAGTTGTTTCAAGTAAAACTGATAACTTTCAACTTCTTCTTTATTGCCTTTATCTTTTTGTCTTTCGAAGTGTCCTTAATCAACACACTGTACATAAGACCACAATTATTGTTTCTTATATGAATGTTGGATAAATTAATCAGATTACTTGAAAATACATTTGTTCGTGTGTGTGTATATCTTTCTTCCCTTTTTTTTTTAAAAAAAATGTTTTTGATTACATTCCTGAATCAGAAATGAATTTTCCCTCTGTGTATAAATAAAACTTTGTGATATTGGTGAATGATGAATCTTTTCTTCTAAAATGTTGTCAGTCACATTTCAAACTCACTATTAGTTTTTTGTTAAGACTCTGAAGTGTGTCGGTGGCACAGCCGTAGAATACTCACCGACCACGCATGTCGTCCGGGGTTCCATCCGTGGCCGACGCACTCCTTTACCTTGCTAAGCCTGTAATAAGGCTGGTAAAGAGGGAAGGTTGGGAGGCATGAGGCTAGCAACCCCATTCCGTAAAGATAAACATCACTGCTACCGAAACTCTGGCTTGAAGCCCTATGTTCCACTGGGAACGTCAAAGAATAATAAAAAAAGACTCTAAAACTGATATTATTAAATATATAGAAGGTAAATCATTGTCTATATTAGTTGTGAAAACACAAATCCATGTAGTCCCTTATTTGGGTTTTGTTGTGTATTATCCATTGTTAGTATCAACTGATATATTTAAAGATATGCGAGAACTTTCTGGCGCACAACTAACAATTGGCTTTATACTCTCTCCCTCAGTCGCCAGTATATCTACATTGAATGTTTTATCTCCATCTACAAAGCATAATTCTAACCTAGTCTTAATCCTAGAGCATTTCTGTCATATTAGAAAAATATCAGACCGTTTGTATCACTATATTCTTAAAGCCTATTCGGTCCTAAACTTCAAATAACTTTCTCAGCTGAGTATATTTACACTATATTTATTCTTTTAAGTTAAGTTGCTTTTCCCTGTATGTACCACACATCCCCTGATGTTGGTTTGTAGTGAAATCTAACAATCGAAATGAATCTAAATCACATAATCTAAGTATCGATCTCCTGTGTCACACTGATGGTTATTGGATGGATGTCCTGAAACTGTAGTAAGAAGTTGTGACCAATGGGGTCCATTATGTCGAGGTGAAGAGGATGTTCATTGAAGGTAATAGTGAAGGTAGCGGCATATCACTTAGTTGACAAAGTTAGAATTCCCGGGTCATTGAATTCCAGCCCAAGTGACTAAATAAATGATCAGTGAACTTGTTCTTGTAACCTAAAGATCTGTCTGTTTTCAACATAGAACTTTGCACCTATGTGCAGCAGTTCAAGTCGTCACACTCCATGTAGCACACAAAGCAAGGGAAGAAAGTAAAAAGAAATACAAAGTAGAGATAGTAAACAGAGATATGATGCAAAAAGAATAGTAATATCGAAGAAAAATATAGTTTTATTGGGTATTATAAGTCACGATGAGTGGACGCATCTGCTCCAGCCATTGAGGACGATTTTGAGCCATACTACCAATTGTCTCCAGCCATTGGTTTTTACCGTCCCGAGGACGCCAACTGGGAAGTTTACGTAGCTGGCTGGCTTAAACTAACTGTTGTGGATTTCATTGACCGGTCCAAATTTTTTTAGTTTGACCACCGCTAGCTCTTTTCCAGCCTAACCCTATGTCAGCTAACATTTCCCGTCGATGAAGGCGATGACTAGGCCTACGTAACACATGTCCTAACCATCTTCAGCCGATGTAGCTTCACAGCCTCATCGATTGATTTCCCCTGCTTACCTAGCACTCGACGCCTAACCTCAGTTTTGCTCAACTTATTATACCACTTCACACGGGAGATAGAACGCAAGCACCTATGATCAAAGACAGCTAATCTTTTCATGTCTTCCACTCTCAATGGCCAGGTCTCACAGCCACAAAGGAGGACTGCTGATCAGTACACAGGCCTTTTGGTCAATAGCCGGTCGGATATCACATCTACGCCAGAGATGGCGTAAACTGGCATATGCGAAACGAGCCTTCTGTATTCGAGCTGATATTTCGTCAGCGATCAACGCTCTGGCGCTGGCTGATGCAATTCCTCAAGCAAGTGAAGTGGTAAACGCGCTCTACCACTTCACTCCCTATTTATAAGCTAGGTGTGAGTCAGTGTAGTCCAGTCCTGTAGCATCACCTCACATTTGACGGGAGCGAATCGCATGCCAAACATTCGCAGATTGCAGCTCAATGTGTTCAGAAGACTCTACATTTCGACATCGTCTTCACCTAGAAGGAATATATCATCTGCATATTCTAAGTCAACGAGATTATTCCCTGGTAACAAGTCAATCCCCGAGTCGCTGAGGTGAATTAGGGTTAAGTCCATTAGTACATCTATGATGAAATTGAATAGAATTGGGGATAGTAGGTATCCCTGTCGGACACCATTAGTTGTCACCAATTCAGATGACAACTCGCTATAAGCTCTCACCTGACTTCATGAGTTCAAGTAGACTGCCTTGATCAGTGCAATGTATTTTCTCGGCATTCCCTTTACAGCCAAGTACCACCAGAGTACCTCTTGGTCGACAGAATCGAATGCGCCTTTAGGTCAAGAAATATAACGATTGCTGGAAGCCGCCGGTAAGTATGCCTATGTTCCAGAATCTGTCGAAGGGTGAATATATGATCAATACACCCTTTTCCTGATCTAAAGTCTGCCTGGTTCTCTCGTGTTTGCGCCTCCCAAGCACCACTTAGTCTACGCAATATTATTGAGCCTAGAACTTTAGATACCTACCATATTAGTCAAGCTAATCCCTCTGTGATTATCACAGGAAGACTTGTCTCCCTTCTTGTATATGGGGATAATCAATGACTTACACCAACCCGACAGGACTTCCTCTGATTCCCAGACGCTGCCTAGCACCTCAGTTAACGCAGAGAGTAAACTGTCTCCACAGTACTTAAATACCTCTGCAGTCATTCCATTAGGTCATGCTGCTTTGCCTCATTTCAGACTAGTGACAGCTTTAGTAACCTCAGTTAGGGACGGAGGACCTGTGTTTATATCCCATTCAGGGAGGTGTTGGATGTTCGGTAAGTTGAGTGTGGCTGTAGGCCAATTAAACTGCTCCTCAAAGTGTTCTTTCCAGTCGTCAATCCTGGAAGCTAATTTCGGTGCCATTTTTCTCAGAGATTGTTTCACTTGTCGTTTACCTTTTACAACCTGTTTCCCTGATAAGTCTAAATAGTTGTCTGGTGTTACCGATCGCCGATGCCTTTTCCATCTCTTTCGCTTTTGTCAACCCCACTGTTCACGGTCGTTACGAAGGCTTCTTGTTAGTTTTTGTTCGAGTAACTTTTGCTCCTCATCATAATCGGAGCTCGCCGGAATCAGCCTTCTTGCATCAATCAGTTCGGATGAGGCGGTAGAGATTCAATGGCTCTTACTAACTTCTGGTCTTAGGTTATTAACTGCTTTTACAACTGTATCTACAGCTAGCTGCGTGTTGTGCCAGGCTACCTCAGGGGAAGTCCTGCTGTTGACCTCAGATACTCGTTTCGCTATTTCTTCCTTAAATAGGGACTCAGAGTCTCAATCTAGTTGGGGACGTAACCGCTTCGCTGCCAGCAATTTCTTATGTCCGTTTAGTTGTAAGCATAGACGTGCGCGGACCAGAGCGTGATCAGAGTCTATGCACGTGTTCCAAGAGGAGCGGCTGTCTTCTACTGACCCTAGCCAACGATACCCTATCGCTATGTGGTCTATCTGAGTCCAACGTTGATTTCATGATGGAGGTCGCCAGATTACGCAGAATCTCTTTATGACTAAAGTTAATGTTGACTAGGGACAGGTGATTATCTGAACAGAACTGTAGAAGTCGATCACCGTTGTCGGTTCGTCGGCAGGGAACTCCATACGTACCACCTACACACTTCTCAGTCTGGCACAACATCCCTACTTGGGCATTGAAGTCTCCTACTAAAACAACTACATCTGAACGTTTTGCCTTTTGCAGCAAATTAGACAGTTTCAGGTTGAAATCCTCCTTTAGTTCATCCTAACTGCAGTCCGTTGGGGCGTAAGCGGAGACTACGAAAAGTCAACGATGGGTGACGCCGTCCTTCCTTCTTCTAACGGACCCGTTCAGACGGACAGCACACATACGACTATCTACTGGGGTCCAGTCAAGAAGTGATTTTTCTGCCCTAACACTCAAAGCTATCCTTACACCTGAGAGTCTTCGCGAACTAGCTGAGGGATCTCCTGACATCCTTAAAGTAAATTCTGGAGATTCACATTGTTGGCGGGGTGAGGTTAAGAGAATGACCACACTCGGGTCTTGTGTGCGTGTCTCCGAAACACAACATACATCCATGGCTCGAGATGCCAGAGCTCTTGCTAGTGATGCCCGTTGTCCGATTTGTCACAGGGTCCTGACGTTGAATGCTCCTACATGAAATTGGCGACGTGGCTTTAAGAGGTTATCAGAGATGTTTCTATGGCTCTCATCGTTGTTTGTGGCCACAGAGTGAAGTGAAGATGATTCACTAACCTGAAGAATAGTACCGACTGTAGTAGGGGAGTAAGATGACGGTGATGTGGGTAAAGGAGAATGATGCTCAGGAAGGCTTCGTGTGTTCTTGGAAGTGTGTGGGCGGTTGTTACTTCCCGTCTGCCCACACTGTGGAAGTTGGTTGATTCTTCGGGTACGTGAAACAGAAAGAGGGTTAGTGTTGTGTGACCGCAGAGCCCCGGGGTACAACTGCTTGAGGCTGGTCACACATGGCCTATATGAACTGGTTTCTTGGTTTGTTTGCGGATTAGTAAACTTACCGCCAGTTACGAACCACCGTAGGGTAAGTCGGGATGTACAATTGTTGGGGTCTACCTTTCCTAACTCCCTCTCTCCATAGTGAAGAGACAGCATATCTGGCATAGTGGCCATCTGAGGGAAACACCTCACTGCTGTTACATCCCTGTTCCCCAGCAGTACGACTTCGCCCACAAACCACCAGCATAGTGTAAAGAACAATTCCTGAACTAAGCCGGTAACTGCTTTTAGTCTAATCACTATTCTAACAACCTTCCTGGCATGGTAGGACCTTCAGGAACAATAGTTCCAGCCAGTGTAGCTTGTTGGGTCATTGCGATGTGCAAACCCGACCACCATGTAAAGGTAGCAGCCATTGTTCGAGTTCAGTTCCTGGTGGGATCGTGGATGCACACTGTGAAAAGTCCACCGAAAGATAGGACAA